TGGGACAGATGGTGCTTAATCTTGCTGCCACAATATTTACGCATAGGGCTGCCTCAATTTATGCTGCCACCAGCAACATGCTAGTGGACCTGTGTGTTGCATGTTCTTAAAAGACCTGCCTTCCACATTCACTCAGTCTTACTGGGCACCAAATGGACCTGGTTTAGAGGCTGATGGAAACGCAGGCCCCATTTCCAAAAGTTTTATTTTTTCTAAGGGAGATGGATATGTTACTCATGGCAAAGTGCATCGCTGTTTAAAATTGAGCACTAATTCTGAAGGGTAGATGCTCAATGCAGCAGTCCTTGCAGGTTGGAGTAGTCCAGCAAACCCAGGAGTGCCACCAAGAGCAGGATTGTGCCTTTATAGGTGAGGTCAGGAGAAGGCTGGCCAGAGGCCCCTTCTATGGATTGGCTGTTTTTGTAGGGCTCTCACGTTTTTATATCCTTCATCTGTTGGGTAACAGTTTTTAAAATTTAAAATAGTTTATTCCCTCATTGTAAAAATGTATATTCACTAAAATTTGGATGGCAGGAAATATATATGTTCCCGTGATAAATTTAGTTGTGATAACATTTGAAATGGCTCCATCACATACATTGTAGCAAGCGGATACACTGGAATTTATTTACTTATTCCTTTCTTATCAGACACAGTGGTTCCATAGTTCACTGAGTCATGTAAATCCTGGTGCTTTCTGAAGAAGTTTGGGCTGCTGCTGTTGAAAACGTGTGCTCCGACACCAGAATTCCAAAAACAAACAGCCACGTTGAGGTGATGGAGGCCCTGAGCCCATCTGTGGATACTTGCACGTCCCTGAGCAGAGGGCCTGCGCAGAGGAGAAAATGCACCGACGAAACACACAACTAGTTCTTTAATCCTTCCTCCCCCCACTATTATGATCTTAGTCCAGTCTTGCAAATCCCTCTATACCAGTGTACAGACAGTGGCACAGATGAGAGCTTTCAATATACGGAATTCAGGAAAGACAAACCCCTCAGAACCAGTAATGGGAGCTATGATTCCAGGAGGGTGGGGGAAGGGGAGGGGAGGAAAGGCGGGAAGGAAGGGGGAGTGGAGAGCAATGATGGCAGAATAACCCCCCTCAGGGGAAGAATACCAGGATAGTAGGGGCAGGGATAGAATGGGCGGTGTGAGGTATATATAAATAATAATAATAAGAATACATAATATAGTAAGGGTTCATGGGAGTGGCAAGGTGAGGGAGGGAGGGAAAAAAGAGAAGCTGATATCAAAGTGCTCTGAAAGAAAGATAATGTTTAGAAATTGTACATGTCCGCTTGAAATAATGGATGTATGGTTTGTTAGAATATATGTAAGCGCCCCCATTAAAATGATTTATTTAGTTGGAAAAAGAGAGAGAAAACATGTGTTCTCCTATCACTAGTCAACCTCTTCGCACCTACACACGCCATCGAGTCGACTCCCAGCTCATAGCGCCGCCAAGGAGAGAGTAGAACCTGCTCCACAGAAGCAGTAAGGGTGCTTCTTTGTGGCAGCGCCGCTGCATCGCAGCCGCTGTCCAGTTAGCATCCAGCGCTGGAACTCCTTGGGGGGTGCCAGCGAGCAGGAAGGGCGGCCTGGGGCCACTGTACAATGAGCAGGACTTTTACGCGTGGCAGAAGGCCAGCATGAAGGGTGACGGGAATACTGCCAGGACTGCCTCTGTCTCTGCTTCTGCGGGCTGGCGTCTTTCTCTGGGTTCTCGGATGGGCTCCAGGTGAGCAAGGAGAACTCTCACACCTCACTGTCCCCATGGATTTTCTGTCAGGATGGCCAGAAGAGTGAGGAACAGAGGGAGGGCCCAACTTGGTCATAAGCTTTGGTGGAAATGTGC